ATTCTGTGATTCTGTGAAATACACATTGGATTTTAAAATAAATTGCAATTTTTTATTCTTTGAGCCCTGTAGTGAAAAATTGTTTTTAAATGAATGCCAGATGGCTTTCAGAGTAATGAAAAGAAAATGAGCCCTAAGCTATTATCTAACCTATGGAATGAAGGAAGCATTTTATTTTACATTAGAGAATGTGAAGTGTTTTCATTGTATGACAGTGTCTTTTTTAGGTAGACAAGAACTGTTTCTTCTAGAATTACTCACTTGGTTTTCTAAGTTGACTGTTCTCAGTGATTTCTCAGCATTTTTCCTTTGCATGCTGGGTCACTGCCGTCCTCTTCTAGCTTGGTTGATTTAACCATTTCAAAGTGTGGAGGGAATGCATTGTAATGACTAGCCGCTTCTATCATGCATTCACACAGTCCCAAAGTGTATTTCTTAGTTAGAAAACTCCTGCCCGCTGAAAGGGAGAATTTTTTTTATAGGCTGGTGTTCTGAAGAGGCTAGTTTCATATACACCATTGTAATTATTTTTAATTTGAGATAATGTGGACAAATGATACGTTACATCTTTATATATAGAGAGAGGGCTTTTAAAATGCAATAAAGGGCTCCCTGATCCTTTAAGCAGTACATTTACTACAGTGCCTTAAATGGTTTATTTCTACTGATCTTTTTTTAATACGTAACATTATAAATAGTATTACTGATTATAAGTATGAATTGAATTATGCATTTCATAAAATATATATCTCCTAATTTCATTTCTGAGCAACTCTTCTTTCAGTTGGGTGCCTATGTAAATCCAAGTGAAAACTTATTTGTATTATATTATTTACTTTTTACTTACTTTGATGAAGGCTTAAAAAAGTAGTGCCAGTCCACTGACTGTTTTTCTCTAGTGTTACACAAAAGTAGTCCTTAAAAATTTACAAGTCTTTTTTGAAACAAGTATTACTTTAGGGTTTTTAAAATGCGTTTTTCCACCATGAAAGACTTTATGCATATGTTTCTTGAGTATTCATAAATGCATTTCCGTTACTTTCTCTGTTACGGTGGCAACATAATTGAATATTTTTCTGGTTCAGGAAGCAACTGACAAAAGAGTTAGTACTTACAAATAAAAGGAGATAGAAAAAAAAAAAGTTGTTTTCAGTTTTATGTAGAAAGCAAGCAGTTGTAGTAACTCATTTCAAAACAAAACAGTTTTGATCAAACTGTTGAGAAATTTCTAAGACTTGATTTTTTAAGTAGAATTTGTACTATATAAAATCAAAATTAAATACTAGAAATTGCTGTGAATGAGTAGATCATTACTGTAATACAGATTTCTCGTCACATTGATTCTTTTCCAGTAGTACTATGAAACTGAGTTACCTGTGGTGAGATTTGTCTCATCTAGTCATAAATGTCTTTAGGTATCTGAGCCAGTAGTTGTAACTTCCATTTATAAACAGGAAAGAAAGTAATTTTTAGGACATTTTTCTTCTCATCTACTTTAGATGTTTAGATTGTAATGAATTCCACCTGAGAAATGCCTCTTTTAACATTTGATCGAATACTGCATGTAGTGGTCATTTGTATATTGCCTTTACAGTTTTATTTTAAATTCAGCACCATATAGGATTTTCAGGTTAATGGCTGATGATGGAATGAGCCAATAATTTTTTTTTAATTTGTATTTTTTAACTTTAATTAGGATTCCTTTCCTATGATGTCAGTCCAGCATGTTATTGACTGGCTTTATCCCTATAATGTTTTCCTTGGAAAGGAAGGCAGGACTGCAGTCAAAGATGCGTTAAAAGTAAGTATTGTTCATATTTATTGTAATTCCAGGGAGCGATGGATTATGACAGTAGTTCCCCTGACTAATGTTACTTCACTACTTCTGTAAAAAACCAAGAAATCTTAAGTAAACTAAATGGCTACATTATTGCTGATGCTAAAACAGTATTTTTTTAAAAAAAACCTTGATAAGCTAGTAGATTTCATTATAGTGAAAGGTGAAACCTTTATGTTCTGTAGAACATTTAGACCTCAGTTCAAGACTACCGAAAAACCCTGATTATGTAAGTGATTAATTAGCTTGAAAGTAGCTACTTGTATGGTTAAGGTAGTCAAATGTTTAAAAAATACCTCTGGCATTTGACCTCTGGGAGGAGATACTACAATGACAATGGAGATCACATGTGCAAAATACGTTCAGTATAGTATGATTACAGATTATGTTAATCTCTGGTTTTGGTCTGTGTTAGCCTTTTGTTGCTTTTTGTTGGTCAGATCTGTTTTGTTGTTTTGTCTGTGTTTACTAATAGTTTCTAAAGCCTATAATTATGCTGGGTTATTTCATTTATCCTTTTAAAACTTCATCACAGTGCTGGGCTTTCCTTTATTTTGGAATATGTTGTAAGTATGTTGTTGAAAATTAGAGTTTGCGACCTAGAGCATCTTAACCAGCTCTTTCAGTCCTGAAAATTAGAAGTTATTTGTATGTGCATGTTTAGAAATAACCAACTCTGTAGATAGTGAATTTTTGTTTTTCTTAAAACCAAGCTTACATGTCAGAGAAATGTTTGTCAGCCATCCCTGTTGACATCTCCCATTTACAGCCTTTTTGCATTGGAGATCAGTCCTGTATTCCCTGTTTAACTGGGCTGGTCTCCTACTTGTCTTCCTGAGTTTTGGGATGGACAGTCCTTGCATTTGAAGGAGGTTGTCCTGAATGACATGCTAGCTTTCATGAACTTTCAATGCTACCTCCTGTGGGGTCTTCCCTGCCACTTCTCCGAATAAGCCAATCTGGTCTGAAATCCAGGATCTGTAGTCTGTTACTTGCCTTCATCACTCTTCAGGCCAAGGCTGCTGTTGATTGCCGCATCCATAACCAATTGCTCCTTTTTGTGAATAGTGGGAGCCATCTGTGCATCACCCCTGCCTAGCCAGTGCAGTGTCTGTGTTGAGATGTTATTCCAGGTAGCCTCAGAAATCTAGATTGATTGTGTCACACTGCGTTGCTCTTCCAACACATGTTGCAGTGATTGAAGTTGCCTGTAAGAACCATGGTCTGTGTGGAAATACAGATTTCTGTGGGTTAGCGGAGCAGTAACAGTCACTTCCGTTCCTTTATTTTAAATCCTTTGCATCGTTTTGTTTCCCCTGTCGGTTATAGATGGTGAATGTCTTTATGTTCAGTACCATCAGCTTCCTCCATTTTCCATTTCTTTTATTTAATTTCATGTGTTGTGCGTGTTTTTGCTTCCTGTGTAAAACAGGCTGGCTTGACAAGTAAAATCTTCTTTCTCAATGATCGTCTGCTTTTAAATACCTCCTTAACATTTACATTTTTCTGTGTTAATTTTCCTTTTTTTAAAGACTCTTCCTCATCACTACTTAAACAAACTTGTCCCATTATGTCAAGAAGTACATATAATCTTATTTGGAATTTTATTCTATTTGCACACAATAAATCTTGTTAAGCAATGAACCTTAAGAAATACAGAAAATAACTGGTTGTACTGAGGAACTTCTATTATAATTGTATTTTAGTAATAGCAGCACCAGAGCTGTATTAAGTATGGATAAGAAATTATTTTTTTTCCATTCCATAAGAAATGTGAGGGAGAGGAGTCTGGCAGAAGCAAGGTGTTTTCTTATTCTACCTTCCTACAGATTTCCAGAGAGTGTCCAGCTAATATTTGCCACTGAATAATTCTCTCTGTGTAGCAGAATACAGTTGAGAAATACTAATCTTAATGGGAGGTATTGAGCATTGAAAAGATAAATACTTGAGGTATATTTGCAATTGATGTGTTAATTTGTGTAAACTGAATCACTTCTTAACATCAGCTAGCATTTAAAGAAAATGAAAAACAAATTTCATACAATTAACTATAAAGTTTAGGCATCAGACTTGGAGACAGATATGGGAAAGCAGTAATCTAGCTGTTAATGTACCTTAATTTCAGGATGTCTTCCCTTCCACTCACCTGTGGGAGCTGAGAAGTGAGGTAGCCAGCAACTAGGCTAAACAGCTAGTTTTGGCAGCTGTTAGACCCTGTGCATATTTCTGGAAGAGATTATATTCTCCAGGCACCGTCTTTCCAAATGTTGTTGTCAGCTTGGGTAGATCTTTTCATTATGTGCCTCCTTGCTCTCCAAGACTCTACCAAGACGTAGGTACTCCTCAATTCTTATTCTTGATAATGAATTGATGTGAACTATTGATTTACACCTTCCCTGTGAGTGAAAGTAGTTTGTTGCGGTGTTAGTCTTTTATATAAAGATGCTTTGAAATGGAACTCTCTTGCTGAGTGGGTCTGGTTGGAGTTAAAACCTGTCTCAGGCTTAACTCTGTCTATCAACCAACTTTTTCATTTGATACAAATGTGGTTCCTTGTGTCAAATCAGTTAGCATCAAAAGAAGTGTTTATGGATTGCACACCAGTCCAGCATCAGCAGTGACCTTGAGAGTTGCTTGTCATCTGGAACATTTGTACAAGGTCTACATTTTGCAGTATTCAATAGTTCATTAGCTTGCAACAGATGGGACAGAAGTACCAAAATAAACTTGAGAATGATGTGCCTTTGTGTACACTTATTTTAAGTTTCTGTACTTTGGAAACAATCGATTTCTATTCTGATTCTTAAAGAAGATCTTAAACTTACAATAACTTGCAAAGGAAAATATCACTTGGTTTGAATTCTGGCCTTTGCAATTGTTCTGTATTTGCATGAAATATTGTCATGACAGATGATTTTGACTGACAGATGTACATTTGAAATATGATTGCAAAAATTAAGTAAAAATTATTTAAAATTTTTCTCTAGATTTCAGTATAGAGAAATTGCTTCTTTCAAGGAAAACAGACTCCAGTTAAACATTCCCAAACAGTAGGCCTAAGTACATATGATGTCTCCCACAGTATTGCTGTTTTCTTTCCTATATACTACTGATAGGCATTTATAAAACTGGTCATCTTCATTTAGGCTGAGTTTGGTGGCTCATAAGAGACTCCCAACTGTTCTGTACATATTTCTTCATTTTTCCATAAGCTTTTAGTATTTTACTTCAGATTCAGCAGAGATTTTGGGTTTGCTTTTCTAATTCTTACATGCCTTTTGCATGTGGTTTTTTTTGTCAGTGTTGGGAACACCCACTGTTTTGGTTGTTTGTTTTTTTTTTTACCTTCTGTGGTGGGTTAACTTAAGAGACTCCCAACTGTTCTGTACATATTTCTTCATTTTTCCATAAGCTTTTAGTATTTTACTTCAGATTCAGCAGAGATTTTGGGTTTGCTTTTCTAATTCTTACATGCCTTTTGCATGTGGTTTTTTTTGTCAGTGTTGGGAACACCCACTGTTTTGGTTGTTTGTTTTTTTTTTTACCTTCTGTGGTGGGTTAACTTTGACTGGATGCCAGGTGCCCACCAGGCCCCTCCATCACTCCCCCTTCAGCAAAATAAAGGGGGAGAATAAGATGAAAAACTCGTGGGTCAAGATAAAAGCAGTTTAATTAAAGCAAAGGCCAAGACCACGCACAGAAACAGAAGGTAAACAAAGATGTTATTCTCTGCTTCCCCTCAGTAAGCAATGTCCAGCCACTCCCCAGGAAAGCAGAGCTTCAGTGTGTGCAGCAGCTGCTCCTGGTGACAAACACAGTAACCGATGTCCCCCTCCTCCTCCCTGCCCTTGGCTTTATGGCTGAGCTGATGTCACATGGACTGGAAC